GATGAGTTCTGCACAACATTTTTGCATCAAAATGCATTGAGTACCAAATTTGATGAGTTTCAAAACAGTTGCGTACCAAGGTACTACTGTATTATTAAAATCTTTGAAAAAAAAGTTATAATGTCCCAGTATATTTCTTATGGAAGAAATTGACAAAGAGGTTTGAAGATTTAATATGCTACAAAATTGTATGGAAATTGTGAGCCTCCCAGTTGCTTGGTAAAAGTTCCTGTTCACTATCCTATTGGATAGCTTTGTAACCTGGTTTAATATAACATGTTCCAAAATTATATTATACAGTATCATATCATTCATGAAGTTATGTAGCTATGATCATACTACACCGCATCTGGGTATACTCTTAGTATTTTCCATTCTTTTTCTAAATTATGATTAATATGAAAATGTTTAAATAAAACATATTTTACAAAGAATTAGCTGCAGATCATAACAGATTTTTTAAAAAGTGATTGTTGGGATGGTAAAACACTAGCAAACTAGAAGTTTACTCACACAACCAACCTTTTCATACAGATGTATGTTCCAGAATGTTCAGTTTTTATTGGGTTAAACCAAAGTGAGCTCCCCCAAGGAGTAGGATTGGCAGTTTTATCACTGAGGATCATAGTGGCTCCTCCACCACTGGATTGATGGAACCACATTACATGATTTTCATAAAGAGGAGAATGGTTGTAAATTGATGTGGTGTCTTCAGATGGCAGGTCACATGATACAATAAATTTGTGATTGCTGATCGCTCTGTACCTCACATTGGTATGCTTTTTAAGGCAATCTGAAAAGAATTTTAAAAGTCAGTACTATCTTCTTCTTTTTTTTAAAAAAAGGACATTTTAGTTATTATAAGCATCCAGGTACATATGTAGACCTTTGAGAAGCAATCAGCTTCTCAACTAATAACAACAAGGCATCAGTTTGCCAGTGTGCGATATTTTATGAATTTTATTGCCAGCACTAGTTCTATAGCCATTAATAAGATAACAAGCCTCATTCCTTGGATCTTCTAAAAGACAACCCACGAAGACCTTTGATATCAAAACACTGAGACATCCATAGGTCCTGAAATAGCAGAAGTCCATTTACCCTCACTCTACTGGAAAAGAAAAGAAAATGCTTACACACACACACACAAGCATGCACATGTCTTATTTCATACTAGGTAAATTTGGCAACATATGAAAGGGAAAAAACTAATTAAGTCCCCCCCCCCAATTCTTATAAAGGGAAGCCTAAAAACCACCATTTGCCTGGTAGATCTATTTGAGGAGATAAAAAAAAAAATCTAGCACCAAGGGCTGGGTTGAGGCCAGTGTTCATACTAATGAGGAAATTGACTCCCCACAAACTATACAGAGCAGCAGCATTTCAAAGAAAATTCTGCAGTTTAACTATGTCAGAAAAAAACTGGCTGAGTTGCTGAATACAGATGTTGGACTAAGATTACAGAGTCTCTACCTGATTCAGCATTAGTTCAAAGATTCCATAGAGTCAACGTATATTAAAGACATATTCAATATGTCTTTAATATACATTGAATGTATCAATCTCAGTACAATCAGCACTGATAACATTTCTCCAGGATTTCCAAGAGGAACTTCCAGAATGATCAGGAACAGGAACTGTTGGGAATTGAACTCAGAATCTTTTTTCATACGAAGTGTGTTTTTTGCATTGAGTCTTTTAATTGAAATCTTTTTTATCTTCAGAAGCTGAAAAACTGTGTAGCTAACACATTTAACAAAAAGATAACCCTTATTTTGCTATTCAAGACTGACCTATGATATATTCAGAAGAGGATGGAGTTTTGAAGGATGAGTAATGGACAAAAATGTATGTATTCTTGAAAAACCTTATATTGTTTATTGACATGCATAATAGACTTTTATAGCTAACAAAAATATGCATATTCCTGCCCACTGACCTATGAAGCCCTCCTATGAAGCCCTCCTATGAAGCCTATCTAGAAATCATTAAAATCTGCCTCTGTGAAAGATATAAGATCACACTTTAGATAGGAAAATATCTTTAAAAACACAACCCCTTATAGCAGGGGTCCCCAACTCCCGACCCACGGCCAGCTACTGGGCCATGAGATGTTTGGAACCAGCCACGGAAGCGATGGCCAAGCACACACACATCTCCACTTGCGTGAGCAGCAGACAAGCACAAATTGAGACATGCATGCTTGCTGGCCATTCAAGCGGAACCATCGCCTCCCCCCCCCCCATCAGTCCATAAAGCTGGAAAGGTTGGGGAACTCTGCCTCATAGGAAAACTGAGAAAGAAACATCAAACAATGAAGATTTGCAGTAATCTTGACATAGCTTACCAGTAACAGTAATATCACCAGCTTCTGCTCTTGTCACAAACAATAGAAAGCACCAGAAAAACAAAAGCATTGTTGTCTAAGATTTCATTTCTGCATGGTTGAATCTTTGGCAGTAAGCCCCAGTGGCAGACATTGAAACTCTTTTCATTACTGTGAAACAATCAAATGTAGTTACCTGAAAATAATTTATTCCAGACAGAAGCTACAAGGAAAGTGTATAAAGAAAAGCAGAAAATCTTTGTGACATATTTCATAATATGTTACTTTACTTCTAAAACACCTTCTTTAAACATGGGCCCTGTAAGGCTCATAAAATCATAGACTCATAGGACTGGAAGGAACCTTGGAGGTCTTCTAATCCAACCTCCTGCCCAGGGCAGAAATCCTTATTCCATCGTGGACAAATTGTTGTCCAATCTTTTCTTGAAAACTTCCAGGGATGGAAAACCCATGACTTTAGGAGCAAGCTGTTCCACTGACTAATTGTTCTCATTGTCAGAAAATTTCTTCTTAGTTTAAGGTTGGATTTCCCTCTAATAAGCTTGCATCCATTGCTTGTTGTCCTGCTCTCAGGTGCTTTGAAGAATAAATCAATCCCCTTTTCCCTGTGACAGCCCTTCAAGTATGGGAAGACAGCTATTATGCCCCTCCTATGCCTTCTCTATAGTTCCTTTAGCTGTTCATCATATGGTTTAGCCTCCAGACCTCTTATGATCTTTATTGCTCTTTTCTGCATTGATTCATAGCTACAACTCATTATTATATTAATTTTTCTTCAGAAAAAATGAGGGATTATATTTATAACTGCTATAAATAAGAAATTATAAAAATGCCAAATACATCTGACTATGTGACAACCCAACCATAATAATAATAATATAATATGCATCCATTCTTTTCTATACTACCTGTTTAAGGAAAATGTCAAAAGAAACATATGGAAAAATATGGTTGAGTTATAACTGTATGTCATATTTTCCATACTATTCCATGAAGCTTCTATGAATGAGACAGCATAGCTAGCACAACAGAAGCTTCATTTGAACTGATTTCATTTGGAACCTAAGAAATAAAAATAACTACATTAGTCTATACCAATTAACACAGAAAACTTACTGAGTGGAGATAATAGATTTATAGATATATTTAGTGAAAGAAATCCAAAGGCTTTTTAAGCCAACTACTTTCATTCAAATAAAAAGTTAATTCAAATAAATTAATGAATTCAAACGAAAGGATACAAATATGTACATATTATTTGCCAAATTAAAAAATATCCTTAAATATTTGAGGTAATTAATCTGAGAAATTGTAATTTGAAAAGGGATTATTTTCTGAACGACAAATCTTACCTTTCAATCTTATCAGAAGCAGTAAATGTTGTGTTCCCTTCTAAACGGAATTTCATATGCATGTTTCCTTTTAATCATCTTTCTTGACCTCAATGTCATCATTTGTTCCTCTTTTAGTAAGTCATGTTTCCGGCTTCATTTTGTGAGTAAGAAGTGAATCTCTATTTTCTTATTATACAATAAGAGTAGGAAAATATTCCTTTCCCAGATTTGCATTGATAGAAACTAACATACTTCAGTACTGCCTATGATAATAAATTCTCCTTCCTTTATATGTGTCCTCTCTATCTGCCCACAATGCTCTAGATCACTCCTTACTTTTTCTGGCAGATCACCTGAGTAATTTATTTCTTAGATCTAGGTCTGGGGTAGGAAACCACAGTCATTGCTACCATTGGTTAAATCTAGTTCACAATTGTGTTCATAGTGACATAACAGATACTGCCAATAAACCACAAACAGAACACACTCTTTAAACAAAGAGTTATGACTAGTCTTAAATTTTTCACCCTATTTAATTTAATAACTCAAATGTCTTAGGCTAGTTAGGTGATACTCTGAAACATTCACAATTTTTTAAAAAATAAACCCAAACCTGGTTAATAATCCCAATAGCCCAGGCTAGACTGAGAAAGAAAAGGGAGGGGAAAAAAACGGGAAAAAGGCATTGATAAATCATTTCCCTGTTATCATGAAATACAGTGATATATCCTAGCAGTTAACGCAGTTGTTATTTGGGTTCTTATCACCAGAGAGTGGTGATATACTTTCCCCTGGCAAATAAAGTCAAAAGATTGATTGATTGATTGATTGATTGATTTATAAAATTTATTGGCCACCCATCTTACCATAGAGTAATTCTGAGTGGCTTACAATTACTTCTCAGTTAAAACATAAAATGTTAAAATCAAACCTTACAGCCAAAGACACATGGGGCGGGCGGGGGCAGAGGGGGGAGGGGGATCTGTTATTATTCAATCAGCCACTTCCATTGTGCTGATCCCCCACTGGGGCCCCAAGCCAACCTGCATAGCCACATCTTTAGGCCCTTGCGAAAAGATAGAAAGGTTGGGGCCAACCTCACATTGGGGAACAAGATGTTCCAGAAGGCAGGAGGAACAGCATAGAAGATTGTTTCATGAGAACAAGAATAGTCCATTTAGAAATCACTCTGGGATTATACATATATTTTGCTTTAGAAGTGCATGCAAATCATTGTAGCTGAAAAGAAAGCAGGAAATCCATAATTCATATATAATCAAACAAGATTTAGATAACTTGTAAGGAGATGAGGATGGTGAAGTAAAACAGCATAATGTAACAGCCTCAAACAACAGCACTAGAAATTTTTACAACTTACAGCAATACTGTATGTATGTCTAATTAGCTAGTTACCTAGAATCCTGAAATTGTCAGCAAAAAAACCATGCATATTTGCCAATTAATATATTGAAGTTGATTTTTTACCATTAGGGATGGAGAAAAACACTTACACATTCACCCTGAGCAAGCCAAAAGTTCTATATATGTCAGATCAAACAATTGGAGCTAGGCTAGTTTTGTTTCCACTGACTGACTCATTTTTTTCCATTACCTTGGACTGTTTCCTGTCAATGTCTTACTTTTCAGTTTCAGAGGCTTCAGATCTCTTTCCTAAGAAGCTTCATGGAACTACCTACACTACAGGGCAAACAATATTGTGTACCTTCTTTAAAGCAAATAATACTGTGCTATGTGCACACGTTTAAGGCTAGGGAGTGATGGTCAGGCCTGCAGAAAGGTTTTATCCTTCCCTGTGTTGCAGGCTGGATGAAAATCATCTTGCTTTCTAGGAATGTTATCATGGACACCACAGGCATTTGTCCATATCTAAATAGCTAAAGCAGGGCTTTTCAACCAGTGGTACGGGTACCACCTGTGGTACATTGGCACCTGGCAGGTGGTACGCGACCATCCTAGAAAAGTGGTAGCGGGGGAGGGGAATGAGCACAATCCTGAGCGAGAGATGAGTGGAGCTGCAGGGCTGTCAGGGCTGAGCAGAAGCACCAGGATCAGTGCTTCTTTGGGACTGTCAGGGCTCAGTGGAAATGCCAGGATCAGCGCCAGGCTCCAGTTGGAGCTTGGTGCTGATTATGGCGCTTCTGCTGAGCACAGAAGAAGTGCCGATCAGCTGGAATGTTGCAGCATCTCCAGGGTTTTGTTGCTTGGCCACTGATTCATATTTATGATGGTCACAGTGTCCCAGGGTCATGTGAAGTGACCAAAACCTGCTGCAACCACCCAGCAGACGGGGGGAATAAAAACCAAACACCCCTCCATCCCACCCCTGCTGCCAATCCTCAACAGAAATGCTCACAATGAAAACCTCGGATAGGAGGAAGAGCGCCACTGGGTGGGCAGGCAGGTGTCTTGCTCGGCTGTGCCTTGGGGAGCACTTTTTTCAGTGCCATTGTAACTTCGAACAGTCACTAAGCGAACTGTTGTAAGTCGAGGACTACCTGTACTTTATCACTTTTTTCCTTTTTTTTTTTGGTCATCAAGTTTTTGACACCTTGCTAGGCGACTGGTGGTACTTGGATATTGCCATATCCTAAAAGTGGTACAATGGGTGAAAAGGTTGAAAAGCCCTGAGCTAAAGGCACTGAAACTGAATTCAGGAAAACCAAGATGACACTTTTAAAAAATGAGTAGGGCTTCAGTCATGCCATTGTGACTGCTGGTTTGTCTTCTTGGACTCCCTGGACATCCCTAATTGATTATTAAAGAATCAAACAAAACCAAGATATCTATATAACTACTTTTGGAAAGAATAATTGTAATACATTTTTCTGTATTTTTTAAAACAAAAATTGCAACAGAGTCAGTAGATATTAAAATCAAGTCATACTGCAACTGAACACATTTCAGTCGCTAGACTTCAACATTTGGATGTAACTGAAATTTTAATATAACAAAAAGTCAGTCAGCTTATTTAACAAATGTCTAACATATAAATCATAGCAAAGCAATGTCTAGCACACATTTACTCTTAAAGGGGCCTTTATTCCACCTAGACTTTACATTCCCTTGGTTGTCTCCATGCTCCATGCATTCAGGGTAAAGAAGTGGGGAAAGCCAGGACCAACCTAAATCTAATTCAGTGATTATGACTTTAACATTATTTTCTTTCTGACACAGAAAAAACAATCTTCAAGGATTTGAAGGCTCTAGAGCAGACATGTCAAACTCGCGACATCATGTGATGTCGCACAACGTATCGGAGCTTTTTGCCATTGCCGGCAATGGGGTGGGCGTGGCTCCAGTATGATGAAACCGGCCCGCGGGCCGGCAGTTTGACACCCCTGCTCTAGAGGTTATGTACCCTTTTATTAAAGAATTCTATCCTGGAAAGAAATATTTTATGTAAAGAGAAATTACACTACTAAAAGCATCCATCAAACTTAATGTGTTGTCACATACAACCCTGGTGAGTTCCAGGCTAATAAGTTATTATATATTATAAATGTGTTTTAGTCACCTTGTAGCAGCATTATGTTAGATGTATTTTCTCAAGCTGATGCCAGCCTGATTTGATAATCTAGTTGTGAATGATAGATCTATACAGTACTGCATATTTGAAAGCAGGAAGATACTTCAGTGCACATATGGGGTATATACGCAGCACCAGACGTCAACTTCTTAAAGCAGCCATTCTCAGAATTCTTTGGCAACATTAGGACCTCAGGGAAGGCACCAGAGTTATAGACAGAGCTAGGTTCATACTAATGGACACTTAAGGATAGTGACAGCATGAAGTTTCTGTAAAAGAGGAGTATTGCCACTGCAGCTGATCCTTTTAAACATATTTCATATATGCAATACCCAGATGAAAACTAAAACTATAACTGAACCAGGTCACTTATTCCTGCCCAAGTTAAATAACACAAGACCCAATGAATTCGAATGTATTTGGTATCTTTCAGTGCTTTCTTTTCAGTGTCTCTCTCTCTCGCATACATAAACAGAGCAGAACTCCAAATATAGTTATTATTGTTATTAATTGGGGATAATGTAAACGGTAAGTCAACCATCTTTCAACAAATGCTTGCATTTTCTGCATCATTCTAGTTCTAATTGTCTCTCTTGGCTTCTTATTCTTTGTCAGCATGTGCTGCATTTAGGTTCAAACAGCAATAAAATACAAAGAAAACACAATTGTTGTTAACATGTTGACATTGGACCCCCCCTTGCAAATAAATCTGTAAGGCAGAAGTCTGAGATTTTGACATACTTTGTAAAAAAAACAGACAACAATATGGAATATACATAGTGAATAAAACAATATATAAAGATATTACTGAAACTAAGCCTAATGACACAGGTGGGACAACCTGAAGCCTGAAGCCTCAATTCTGCTGCTCCCAAGTATCTGTGGACACTTTCTTATATTTCAAGTTTTGCTTCCAGCACTTAGCCATCTCAAGCAACAGTGATGAAGACCTAGTAGCAGGCAAGTGATGGCTCAGAAGTGATACCAAAAGTACTTGTTCTTTTTCTTTTGTCCTGCAATGTTACCCCTTCACAAGCAGCTGAAATAGTTGGCTTGGCAGGCATGGCATAGCGAAGCTTTTTCCAAAATTTAGACTTTAAAGGCAGTGATTTTTCTTTTTTCCATTTCACCACTTGACTGGAAGAAAGAAGTTCCAAAGACTTGGGCAAGAAATCAAAATAGTTTTTTGGCATGTATTCTATTAATATGACTTTGATCTTTCTTTCAACCAAGGCTTTATGCAGTCCAACTTCTAGCTCGAACATGACTTGGTTGGAGACATAGTTTCGGGTCAGAATAATAATTAATCTTCGACTTCTATCAATGGATGATTGGATGTCATCAATAATAGCTGTAAGTAAAAGAGTTATGGTTACAGTTAGCTGAAGAAAGAAGGAAAAGTTGCATATTCATAATATATACTTTGAAATAACCATGTGTGACCTCCAAGAGATAATGTGATTCTCAGCTTGTCTGCCATTAAAAAGTTTGAAAAATAATAATAAACCTATTTATTTTTTCATCAGGAGTTTCAGCACTTTTCTCCAAAATCACAGCAAACACAGATACAGACACATAAACACACACACACACATGTACACACACACACACATGAATGCATACAAACATACATACTGCCCATGTACACATACACAAACAGTATATAATATAAGAAAGAGAAGCAAGGTGTTCTCAAACCTCAGTGGTGCTATTTCTAGGAAACTAAGTGGATGGTATATTTTAAATTTAAGCAAAAGAAAAAGATATTTTATCAGTGTTGTAACATATTGAGTTAAAATTAAGAAATTGGGTGCTTGAACTGTGTAGTAACGGTTAGCAGGCCACGTGGCCAGCAAGCCAGACTTTCTGTCTGCAGCCTACTTGTTATGCATTTAAGCGGGAGAATACTGTGATCTTATTGGTTGCCGCCTCCTAAGCTGAATGTATAAATAAGGGTGGAGCATGTGCTTTCCAGTTTCAGTTTTGCCTTTGCAATAAAGAGAGTTGTGTTTCACCTGCTGCCTCTTCAATGCTGCAACGAACAGCAAACATAACATTGGCGACGAAGGGGGATCGTGCTGCCTTCGATCCGAAGAGCTGAGTCACTACGGGGGTTAGGCCTAGGAGGCGCTGGGTTGGAACGGCGGTTCCCCCCCTCACTCTAGCCTGCCAGTACGGAAACGCTGGAGGAGAGTGCTTCCAAGGATCCACCCTGGAAGTCCCACAGAAGCCTGCGCAGCACGAGGCATTGAAGGGCCCACAAACAACTCACCATGGCGAAGATAGGAAAACTCTCCAAATTTGACGTCGCTCATCCAGAGAGGTGGAGCTCCTACATCGCGAGAGTTGAAAACTACCTGCGGGTTAACCAAATTCGAGATGACAGTTTGAAAGCCGCGACGCTGTTGTGTGTGTGCAGCCAGGCGACTTTTGATATCGCCGAGAACTTGGTTGCACCAGCCCCACTTGAATCCATCGTGTACTCAGAACTTAAGAAGATGCTCAAAGAAGACTTTGACCCCAAGCTATCGGTCATTGCCTGGCAGCACGCCTTCAAACAGCAAGACCAATACCCCGGCGAGTCTGCTGCCGACTTCATAGCTGCTCTTCATCAAGCGGCCCAACTTTGCGAATTCAAAGACCTCGAAGGAAGACTGAGGGACCGTTTAGTTTGTGGATTAAGAAGTCGAGAGCTGCAACAAAAGATCGTTTCAAGATACCTTGCGGGAGATCACGGCTGAAGAAGCAGCTGGCGGAGCCGTCAAGGCCTTACAGCTATCCAAGAACCCTCCTTGCATGGATGCCATCCATCAGGAGAACGCCAAAAGAGTTGAAGACTCCGAATCGGACCACGAAGTCGATCGGTTACAGCAACCACCCGAAAGAAGTCGATCGGTTACAGCAACCACCCGAAAGAATTGACAAGACAGTTCCCTTTTCTCGATGTGTTAGGTGCAGAGGCTGACACAAACGGGCGGAATGCTGGTTCCGCATGGCAACCTGCATGTGGCAAGCAAGGCCACATCGCCGTTGTTGCAGGGGCCGCAAAAGAGAACACCCATCAGAAGAGTTGCCTCGGAAAGATACCGGGGTGCCCGGGCAAAACAGGGTGGGTTATTGCGCTAGTAGAAGGAGCGTTTTTAGGACAGGTGCCCATCGCCCACTCAAGGAAAAGTTGCGTCTCAAAGTCAAGTTGCAAGGGGTTCCTTCTGACATGGAGTTAGACACGGGGTCAGCCTTATCAATAATTTCCCAAAGGATTCTCCAGCAAATTTGTAGTCGAAGCGGCAAGCGAGTTAAGCTCAGGCCGTTGAACCTCATTCTAACCGATTTCCAAAACTCCCATGTAAAAGTCAAGGGGGAGGCTACACTTGGGGTGCAGTTCAGGAACTTCGAGGGTCCCATGGAAGTCATAGTAGTTGAGGGCAACCGCACTAGCCTCATCGGACTTGATTGGTTTGATGCATTGGGAATTCAAGTGACCGGGTTAAATAGTTTGCAGACTTCAAGACTTTCAGCAGTTTGTAAAGAGTTTGCTGATGTTTTCAGCCCTGAGTTAGGGGAGTACAAGGGTCCCCCAATTGCCCTCCGGCTTGATCCTACAATAACACCAATAAGGATAAAGCCTTGTCAGGTGCCTTTTGCCCTGAAGCAGAGAATCAATGCAGAGCTGGACAAGCTGTTGCAGCAAGGCATTTTGGAGCCGGTGGTTAGCAGTCCATGGGAAACTCCCATAGTTACACCACTTAAGGCCAACGGGGAAGTCCGCATTTGTGCTGACTATAAATGCACACTAAATAAAGCTCTCCAGCAGCACTCCTATCTGGTGGCTGTAGTCAGCCACATTTTGTCATCATTACAGGGAGGTCGCATTTTCGCCAAATTAGATTTGGCCCAGGCCTATCAGCAGCTGCCGGTGGACTATGCCACAGCTGAGGCCCAGACCATAGTAACCCACAGGGGAGCTTTCAAGGTGCGGCGATTACAGTTCGGGGTTAGTGTAGCCCCAGGCATTTTTCAGAGAGTAATGGAGCACATGCTCCGCAACATTCCAGGTGTGTGCCCATATTTCGATGATGTCCTCATAGCAGGGGAATCAGTCGAAAACCTCACTGACCGTCTCAGGGCAGTCTTGCAGTGGTTCCATGAAGCGGGGCTGAAGCTCAAGCAGGAAAAATGTAAAATTGGGGTTACTTCCACAGAATTCCTTGGGTTTCGTATAGATGCCGAAGGCATTCATCCTGCTGAATCCAAGCTCAAAGCAATTCAGCAGACACCCAGTCCCAAGACAAAAGGAGAACTTCAGGCCTTTTTGGGACTCCTTAATTTTTATCACGCCTTCCTTCCCCACAAGGCCGCAGTGGCAAAGCCGTTACACCGGCACTTGGACAAGAAGGCCCAATGGAAGTGGACGAACGTCCACAAGCAGAGTTTTTCAGCAGTTAAAGCACTATTATCAAATGCGGTGTTAACTCATTTCAATGAACAGCTTCCAATCAGCATTGCTTGTGATGCATCTCCGTACGGGATCGGAGCTGTGTTAAGCCATCTTCAGGCTGACAGAACACAAGTTCCCATAGCCTATTACTCTAGAACTCTCTCTTCAACAGAACACAATTACGCACATATTGATAGGGAGGCATTGGCCATAGTGGCAGGTATACGAAAGTTCCATGACTATTTGTATGGCCACCATTTCACGGTTTTCACAGACCACAAGCCACTTCTGGGGTTGTTCGCTACAAACAAGCAAACACCCTAGATTATTTCTCCTAGGATGTTGAGGTGGTCAATATTCCTATCAGCTTACAATTATTGTCTGGTTCACAAACCAGGTAAAGAAAGGGACCATGCAGACGGCTTTAGTAGGTTGCCTCTACAGCTATTAGAACCAGATCCAGCTCCAGCTAACCGTATCCTGGCTATCCAGGATTTGCCAGAGTCTCCCCTTAACGCAGGGGATGTAGCTGTTGAAACAGCCTCAGACAACACGCTGAGCCGCGTGTTGAACTGGGTGCTCACAGGATGGCTTGAAACATGTCCGGGCCCTAACTTTCAGAGTTTTTGGAGAAAGAAGAATGAGTTATCCACTCATAAGGGTTGTATTTTGTGGGGCAGCCAGGTTGTAATCCCGACCTCACTGAGGGCTAGAATTCTTGATTCTCTGCATGAGGGACATCTGGGAATAGTCCGGATGAAGGCACTCGTGCGCAGCTACTTTTGGTGGCCTGGGTTCAATAAAGATATTGAGGCCCAGGTCCACAGCTGCCTCATTTGCCAGCAGTCGAGGCCAGAAATGCCACATGCCGCAGTCCACAGATGGAAAACCACTCAAGCCCCATGGTGAGGATTCATATTGATTTTGCAGGCCCCTTTCAGGGGCAACTCTTCCTCATAGTCATGGACAGCCACTCCAAGTGGTTAGAGGTCGCTCCAGTTTCCACTATGACTACTGCCAGGACCATCCAGGTTCTGTGCAGCATCTTTGCAACACATGGGCTCCCAGATGTCATAGTCTCAGACAACGGGACTCGGGGCTTCCGGTTCCGGGTCGCAGCACTGCGATCGTGTGGAGAGACTCGTCTCTTTGCCGGGCGAGTTTCCCCCGCCAGTAGACCCTTGATTGGGTCGAAAGTCGCCCTGGAGGGGCGACCACCATTGAGAAGGCTGCCTGTTTGACTGCAGAGGGGCGGCAGCACCCTCTGCAGTCCAAGCGAGCTCCTTTGGGCCGACGGAGTAAAGATCGGTCAGTAAAATGGCCGATCACTTAGCTGTACCAGTCGTAAGCCACAAGAACTTCTAAGCAAAATAGAACCACCGTGGAAGTTTCGGTGAGACCTTTCCTTGCCTCTCCCTTTCCTATTTACTCCTGTGAAAAGCCTTTGGAATCATTTCCCTATCATTTTAAAGCGGCTTTGTTAATGGGGGAAGAAAAGCCTTGGAACAAAAGAAAAATTAATTTTAACTTTTTCAATGGTTGATTTTATTTTTGAATATTTGGGAGTCCTAAAATCCCTGTTATAGAAACTAAATATGCTAGCAATTTGGAAAAAAATTTTTTTCTATTTTCTACTATTTTTATAATTAAAGAAAAGAAGGAAAAAAGGAAAAGAGAAAAGAAATTATTTTTATTGGGGGTCTGGAAAGACCGAACAACTGGTTAACCCTCTGGGGACATCTTGTGGTGAAATTATTTACCACAATTGTTATTCCCTTTCTTTGGACTCTGAGTTTGACTTTGACCTTCAAATTATCTCAAAAGGGAAAGATAAAGAAGCTGTATAGCTGGGTGGAAGCGGATATTGACTGATTGTTATTAAATACAGCCTCCACCAAAAGAATAATGGCTTTATATACTACTGAAATGGAGGAACTCTGTCCAGATTTCAATTACAAGTATATATTGGACACAATTATTGAAAATACTGAACAAATAATTGCCTATACAAAAGAGATTATTTCTCAACGACAAATCAAAGCGCAAGGTGTAAGTGAGCACTTTGTAAGCCAAGAAACAGCAGAAGGGGTATATACTCAAGAGACCCGTCTTCAACCTTATCCACAATTTACTGAGATGGAGGAATTGAACTTACATCAGGACTACCAACCTACATCGGAAAAAACTTTTGATGCTAATGAACAAATGACTTTTAGCACGGAAACTAAGGATGTTACCCCAGAAGGGCAGGCTGATCTCCAGACTCCAACTGATTACCTGACAGATAAAAAACCAATAGGATGAGAGCAAAATAATATTAAAGAAAACTCTACATTATTTTATAGACAATCTATTGAGACTTTGGATGATTCAAAAATGACTGTAATTAAACTAGACGCAACTTCAAAAAAGATGAAGATGGATGTTCAACCACAAGCTATTGAGAATCGTTACAACTTTTTCACTAGCCTATTAAAATGGACAATGGGAGATTCTCTTCTGATTTATGCGTTATGGCAAGAAATGGAGGGAGTTTTATTTGTGGACTTAGAGGCCTTACTATGGAAACCCGTTTGGAACAGAAAGAAAGCTAGAATAAGATATAAAGATGGAATTTAAGATTACATTTATGGGTTGCAATGGCTTTATAAAGATGTGGATTGATTTGGATTTGGATTTTTAAAAGGTGTTTTTAGGATAAGATTTAGAATTTAATATTGAAATATAGTAAGAATATATTTTTTGGAATAATAGATCTTCCTTGTTTTCTCTTTTTTTTCTTGGTTTCTTTTTGTTTCTTTCTATTATTTTTTTTTCTATTTTTCCTATGCTTTTTTATTATTAGATATGATAGCTAATTTGTGGAGCTATAATGATAAAAAGATTGTAATGATGGAAGAGATGAAATTAATAAATGAAGAATTACTGAATAGGAAATAGAATATAGTTGAGAAATGTAAGAATGTAATTATGGAAATAATATGCTTAAATAAGAGAAATTATGGACACCCGAATTGTAAATAATATTTTTGTTTAAGATTAAGTTAGATATGGTATTTGGAAATTAATAAACCTAAAAACAGGGTTTGATTTACATCGATGAAAGGTTGCTGATAACTTTTATTGATTAATTGAATTTTTATTTAGAAATGTATTAATGAATTAATTTTACTTAGAAATGTATTAGTTTGACTATACTATTCTAATTGTTAGAGAGGGAAATTTTAAGGAGCATTATTTGAGCTATATATGTATGATGTTATTGTACCTAACTGATTACTCTATCTTCACGTTGTTTCTTAAGCGTTCTGGTATAAAAATGGAAAAATCAATAAAATTGTTTGGGAAAAAAAAGACAACGGGGCTCAATTTAGTTCTGCAGAGTTTCAGTCCTTTCTAAGGGCGAATATAATAATAATAATAATAATAATAATAATAATAATAATAATAATAATAATAATAATAGTAAAGTTGGAAGGGACCTTGCTCCTTTTCATCCGGCCTCTAACGGCCAAACAGAGCACATGGTCAGAACAACCAAGGAATCCTTGAAGAGGATTGCAACTGGCAAGTGGCACCATAGGTTGGCAGATTTCCTACTCTGCCAATGCACAACACCCTGCACTTCTACGGGCAAAAGCCCAGCTGAGTTAAGATGGGGGTGACGCTTGATCACGAAGCTGGACCGCTTACATCCAGTCAGAGTTGCTTCACAAGTGCAGCAGCCTAAGGCACCGAGGCACTTGCAAGTGGGTGACCCAGTGTGGGCATGGAACTATGGGCAAGGGGCACTGTGGGTGGTAGCTGTGGTTTGCAAGGTGTCAGGGCCGCTTTCATACGAAGTGGCCCTGGAAGATGATCGAGTGCTTCAAAGGCATATTGACCAGCTGCGACGGAGGCTGCCAAACCACCCTTCTGCTCATGACTCTGCTCAGGGGGAGGAGGAGGAACATGATTGCGATCATGAATTTGGGTCTCCCAGCAGAAGCGAGACCTTGCGATTGCCAAACGGGGGTTTTGCAAACGAGGCTGTTCCTAACTCAGGCACTGCGTCCAAGGGACATTGCCGACAATCGGCTCCTCAAATGGCTTTTCACGCTGATCTGGTGGGTTCTACCTCACCGAGGAACACTGGCTCAGGCCTACCGGAACAGATCAGCCTTCAAGAATCGGCTCTACCCGTGTCGGACGGGTCACAAAGCCCCGGTCTACCGAGCTTGGCAGGCGAGCTTGCAGATCGGGAGCTAGCAGCAGCTCCGAGACATTTGGAGCGGGCAAAAGGGCCGCCGAAATACTTAAAAGACTACATAAGATTTTTGTCGTTGCAAACTTGAATGCTTATGTATTTTCTTGAAAACTTAAATGCTTAAATATTCTTGTTACTGGAATAGTGTAATGTCATGCTTATGTACATTATTATGCCTTGATTATCTGTGATGTTACACAAACAAGCAAGGTTTGTAAGTGTAAATGATCCAGGGGGAAGGGGTGTAATGTATTGAGTTAAAATTAAGAAATTGGGTGCTTGAACTGTGTAGTAACGGTTAGCAGGCCATGTGGCCAACAAGCTAGACTTTCTGTCTGCAGGCTACTTGTTATGCATTTAAGCGGGAGAATACTGTGATCTTATTGGTTGCTGCCTCCTAAGCTGAATGTATAAATAGGGGTGGAGCATGTGCTTTCCAGTTTCGGTTTTGCCTTTGCAATAAAGAGAGTTGTGTTTCACCTGCTGCCTCTTCAATGCCGCAACGAACAGCAAACATAACAAGTGTATTCAATGATTATTTATCCCTTCTACCTACCTCCTCCAGGAGAAATATCTCGTTCAAAAATGCATAACTTATATCCAAAATGATCTTCTAATGTTTTAGGTAGTATCTCCAGAGCAAATTTTCTCTCTTCACCACATATTGGTGTACAGTCTTTCAGGTAAGACACAAAAGCATCATACAGTTTTCCATCTATAAATAAATAATACACAGAGTCAATGTACTTCTCTGACATAATTACTCATAGGAATAACATTCAGGCAGGATCTCCTATTCCCTTGTACAATTGGCTAAACAGCATTTATTTATTCTGTATTTGTTTTATTTATCAAACAATCAAATAAAGATTGTTTACTCATATTAAATGGTGAGCTAAAGGAAGGCAGAAACAAAGTGAACAAAATCAATAATTTCCAATTTTGGAGACTGTAAAACAATTATGTATCTGTGTTACTTCCAAAAAACAACTCTATATCCTTAATTTCTATCTTCTTTCAGAACAGAGAAAGACTGTAATAATGAAAAGTGAAGAAGTTACAATTTCTTCTTTCTTCCCCTTTGATATTTATGGATTTAAATCAACACTATTTTTTATTAAGTCAAACCAATCGTTTTACCTCCCAGTGTTTCATCTTTTCCTGTTATATCTCTGAACAATAAAATAAGCTCAATCTTGAATATTACACAGAGAATCACCATCATTACAGCAATAAAGGAAAATATTATGGCCATTATCATTCCAGCAGTAAAAGCATGAACTGGTAAATCTGGATTACATTCTAGGAAGAAAAAAAGAAGATAATAAATTATTGCTTAGGGAGGCAAGCTTCTCTAATTATCACAAGAAGAGGTTAAAATATTTTCTAGCCAAATGCCTGTCTAGTATGCTTTGGGTCAGAAATATAAGTAATAATATTTTGTACTTCTATCTTAAAAATAGAAAAAAAGGAAAAATATTCTTACAGCCTAAAATAGAAAAATATTCTTACAGCCTATAAAGATATGAAATAATTTATCTATTATTAAGTAGCCTTAGCATAACTTACTAAGTTTATATATTATCTTATATAAATGAAGCAACAAATTCAGAACTAGAAAATACATCTGCTTTCACTCACTTAAAGTCACTATTTGGCATTAAAGAAGCAACTAAATGTTGTCAAATTCAAATAGAGGTGCAGAGCACTTTTAGGGGATACTTAGAAGGCTTTATCCATTCTCAATTATCCTTTATACAGTGAAGTATCAAGCCAATTTTTTGCCAGCTGGAGCTCAAATTGTCTATAAGTCAATCAGCCTTTCCAGGGAGACCAAACAGAAAACATGACAGATGAGTTAATTTAATTGTAAGGCTATATTAACAAAATCTTGCAAGTGAGAAAGTAGAAATCTTCGACCATCTCCTTTACAGCCTGAGAAGCTAGGGAAGGTTGCTTCTGAGCATCTTTCTCCACCCACTCTCCATTATGCCCTCTCTTCTCTGATCATTCCCTCAGCAACATTTCTTCACCCTGTCTCTCAAGATCTCCTTCTCACAGACCACTTCCCAGCCTCATTTATGTAAAATAATCCTTAAAAACAGAACCAGAAAGGAGGATTATTCATAGTATATTATTATACATTATGCAGTTTTATCTTTTAATATTGTAAGCTGCTCAGAGTACCGTTTGGCAAGAAGGGCAGCTAATAAATTTTACAAATAAATAAATGAATTATAGGGACATTGGCAGATAACTGGAGGCAAACAAGTACACTCATTCTAGATAGTATAGAATAAAAATCAATTTTAGGCAATTTTGAATTTTATATATAAGTACAAGAATGCTAGTCCCAAATTAGAAACCAGCTAATTTTTTTGTCTGCTAAGAAAGAAATTCACAGAAAGACCTTTTTTATTATTTCCAAGAATTATCAACAAATATGTTTATATCTTTTCTTCTAGCCTGTATTGCCCACCTGAATAACTTTGATAATTAAGGTTCAGTTTGTAGATATTGCTGATGAATAACTGATTTACAAACAGCAAATTATAATCTCTTATTGTTATTCTATATAAATATGTCAACTTGATAAAGTAGATGAATATAAAATATTTTGAACTATGTAGTGTTTATATCCAAAGTTGGCCTGAGAATGCCATTAGTTTTTTTAAAAAGAAATACTTAAAAATATAATCAATTAACCAAAGATGCTGGTCTTTTTAGGTGCCAAGGAAAATCATATTATTTTGTACAATAATATGGATGTCTTTCCCATTTTTTAAGAAATCTGAATGCTCAACTTATTAAAATAATTCATAAATGAGAATTCCAAAATATTATGGCCATTTTAAAAAATATATGTTTTATTTCATGAGGAGATGGGTCTGAGTGTATGAGACTATTATCTAGAGATACCATAAATGTTTGATATTAATGGGCATTAACTTGCTATCTCTGAAACAATTACATCTACAAAAACTCAAATTTAGATTAAAATAGAATTCAACTAGTAATTAGCCTTGCATAATTTTCAAGTTCTATTATCAGCTACATCCAAAATTATCTGCCCACTTTCTAAGAATTCTTTTTTGGCTTTACAGTTTATTTTTCCCCATATCAGTTTAAACTTAGTACCACTTCTGGGTCACCTGTATTTACATAAATTAATTTTTATACTAGATTAAATTGTACAATACCTTTTTGCAATATAAATGTTTGCTTTTCAAAACCATTTTCAGAAAAGATGCATTTGTATGAACAATTGATGTTCTCTTCTTTCACACGTTTAAACCAAAGTTGTCTCATAACATATTTTTTCCCATTTTCATTACTGTTAAGAAAGGGGAAATTATATAATAACAATCCTATTAGCATTTACTCTGGAGAAAACCTCAAAGAATTAAATAAACTGAAGAAGAGAGCTTATTGAATGCAATTAATTGATTTGGTCTTCAGTCATAAAAGGTAGTCTGACTCCTGCTCTCTTTTTCAGGCATTTGATGTATCTGGAAGGATTTTGGAAGTTCCCAATTATGTGAAGGGCAGTTCTTCTGTTGACCAGTTTGTTAATCTTGGAAATATATACCTTAAATTATTTTCTTTATACAGGAACTTTCTCTTGGAAAGCTGTACTACTGACAATTTAAAGTTCCATATCTATTTACTACTTAAACTTCTCATTTAAGTAAAGTTCCAACACCCATAGCATCAATTCCAGAGATTGCAATTCCAATATATGTGCAAAGTATTTGAAGAAAGTTGTCAGGGAATTGAAGCATAGAAAGATTAGTTTAAATAACTATATTATTCCCATCTATTAAAAATGGCTGGTTCATATTTTATGAATGAATATAATGAGAACAATTTCATCTGTCCATAAAGTCCCATTCCTATGTTATGGAATTTTCATTTGGCAAAAATGAGGAAAGAATTGTAATTTCCTCTCCAAAGAATAGGATTGACTATTAATTATTTTTGTATAGGGCAAAATACGCCGTTTGATTATATTGGATCTCAGTCATAGTAGATCACATTGCAAGACTTACCAAAGAAAATTAAAATACAAGTAGTCCTCAACTTACCACAGTTCATGTAGTGACCATTAGAAGTAATAATGGCACTGAAAAAGTCAGAGTCATGTGATCACCTTTTGCAAACTTCTGACAAAGTCAATGGGGAAACCAGATTCACTTAACAATCATGTTACTAACTTAACAACTGCAGTGATTCACTTAACAATTGTGGCAAGAAAGGTCGCAAAATGGGGCAACACTCACTTGACAAATGTCTCACCAACAAAAATTTTGGGCTCAATTGTGGTCATAAGTCAAGGAACTGCATGCATGTCTAATTATCAAACAAGTGTAACAACATATTGTAGATACATAATGTTTGGTTATGAATAGTACTTACTATTTGCATTCCTCCTTTTGACACGGGGAACTATTATTCTGACATATTTCTATAATATCATCATGCACGATCCAATAAAGGTCATACTGGACTTCAACAAAGTTCGAATAACCTAAAAACGCTGTGCAATTGAGTATTTCCTCTTTACCTAACAGAAATATTTGTTTAAAATTAATAATTTTAATGAAAGAAATATTCTCTCTTTTAATCCTCTTCAGAATTAAATTTGAAATCATTAACAGCCTTGCTTCAATGCATATTTCCTAGCTGCTAGAATTCCTGACTTGCTGATATCTATATAAATAAAAATGTAAATGTTCGTTTGTTCAAAATCTTAAATCTCCGAAAGTTCTTCACTACTTGCTTTGAAATTTTGACACAATGTTGCATTCGAATACGCGCGTGTTTTTATATACCTATATTATATAGATGTCACACCTGTGACAGGTAAAAACATGCTTTTTTTGAAAAACAGTGTCATCTGTTGGACGTAAAAGCAAACCAGACAATCTCTATATCTGCACAGACAATGGAACAACAAAAAATATTGTATACCCACAAGCATTGTGAAATTAAATATATTACAAACATGCGCTTTCTCTTTTCTTTCTTTTCCATTTAACCAGACTGAGCCACAGCAACGCGTGGCCGGGTACAGCTAGTATTTTAATATAATTTAACAACTACAAATAACAACAAATAAGAAATTGGAAATTTGAAAAAATATTCACTTCACCGACACTTCAAACTGAAAATATTAGAATTCTATTTCTATAATCATTAGTTATGAAATACATTAATCTATGTACCATAGGACTTGCCAACAATGTTTTGATACCACTGTTTCTTCTATTTGACTCTTTTATTCTAAAAGAGGGAAGGTACTGAAGGGTATTGGAGTACATTAAGTTTTATAAAATTTCAGAAAAATATTTTCTCATAGTACAACTACAATAGAGTAGCTATAAATTGTTGTATACCACTATCCTGCACATTACACCTTAAACATGAATATGGTAAAAAAAAATAGTTTACATGCTATGGACAACAGAAATATAAAACTGTTAGAAAGCTAAAGCTCCTGGATGATCTGAAATCTCAGAAACCAGCTGCTTTAAAAATTGACAGTAGATACAGGCATGTTCTTTGACAAGAAAAATAACTAATTCTTTAAATTAAAGTATCATTAATTATTTCTCTTTACAATTCTTTCAAAGGCATTCCAACCAGTTGCTTCTAAATGCTCTGTTCTTACTCTACTCTTCTAGAAGCAGTGTGGAGTCTGAGGAATAAATGCTGGATTTAAATATAAACCAAGAAATATCATTACTTGGTTTGTATTTAGTAATATAATATAGTAATATCATTCTAGCCCAGAGGTCCCCAACCTTTTGGGCACCAGGGACCGGTTATGTGGAGAGATATTTTTCTGCAGACAGGAGGAGGTGTGGTTTTGTGTGCTGCCTGCATCCCACGGATGGGGCTTTGCTTGTTTGTGCGGACCAGTTGCTGGCATGCTGTGGCCCGGTACCAGTCCACGGACCGGGGGTTGGGGACTCCTGTTCTAACCCAAGTACAGAAAAATCTATGATATTTTAAAGGCAATATATACAGCCAGCTTTTGAAAAGGCCCACTTGTTGATAATATAGTCAAATATCATCACAGATTAATAATAAAGAGAAATACCTATTTCAGTTTTGAAAACATTATAAGCAGATCCAATTAGCTTTGGGACATTTTCTTCTCATGGAATTCTTCTCTTTTCTCATAATGAATTTGATTAAAAGGATTTCCGGTCGTACTACTATTTACGATTGTACAACAGGAATGTATTTTGTAAAAAAAGTCAAAAATTCACTTAACCGGTTAATTAGTTTCTAATAAAAAGTAAATTTTTGTACTAAAACCTGACAGGTTTCGGTTATTTCCCTCACTACACTTTAAGAAAAGCACAATGAGGTTTACATAGAATCCTTTTTAAACATTCTCTGATGTGCTCAGTGAAAAATATTATTTTGTGTAGTTACCTCCAATATTAAGATAATGAAACATATCAAATATTTTAAGATCCCTAGCCATTCATTTGCTAACATGGGATGTCTCAATTCTTTACTTCAAGCTTCTTACCAATAATTACAAAATTCTTATATTGGTCCTTGAAGACAGTTTTTAAATTAATTGGACTTAAGATATACTACAGCACTACTATTTCAATATCCTCACATCTACTCCATACAAAAGGAAAGAAGACACAGGGAAATGCTCCCCTCTATATTTTTAGTTATGTGATAGCACAGAGGTCTCCAAACATCGCAACTTCAAGACTTGTAGACTTCAACTCCCAGAATTCCTCAGCCAGCCATGTTGGCTAGGGAATTCTAGGAGTTAAAGTTCATAACTCTCAAAATTGGCAAGTTTGGAGAACCTTGTGATAACACATTAGTTATATGGATTACCAGCTAAGCTGCCAAACCATCATTCTCCTTTTGCCTTGAAAACAATGATTGTCAGCTTGAGGGAAACTGAGGCAAATACTCCAGTCAATATAAAGACAGTTTTCCACTGCCAGTATTCAAATGGGAGATCCCTTTTCTGAGATTTCATAACTGAGGCAGAAATAAATCAATCAATCGGCCACCAGAAAGTGATGATGTCATGATTTCATATTGATTCTGCCAAAGGCAACAGTCATCTGTGAAAATGTTCTTCTGTCATTAGGAGGTATTCTCAGAATTACATAGCTGAATTTTCCTTTCTAAGAAGAGGAGTATCCAGTACAGCAGAATGATTTTCAGTATGATGGTCTTCTAATACCATATGCAAAATAGAAGTATGATACATTGCATATAATGTAAGAACCATGTTAGTGGCATGTATACATAGGATCAAGCAAGCTGATATCAGGGAGTCCTCAACTTATGAATGGTTGCTTAGCAACCATTCAAGCTTATGGCAGACCCCCCCCCAAAGCTACTTAAGATCCACTTTGACCCAGTTCTAATGTTGTGACAATGCCAACCTATGTCACATGACTATATTTCAGCCACTTGGGAATAATTTAGGACAATTTGCAGTGTCCCATGGTCACATGACCATGATTTATGATGGTTCTTTTTTTCCAAAAACCAATATTTACTTCCATTTTTCAGTAGAAATGCTCTAATAATACTAATAATGTTCACTTAATAGCCACGGTGTTCATTTTACAACTACCAC